TTGAGCCAAGAGCAAGAAAGATATCTTGCAGGGAGAAATGCTCTATTAGGCTCTTAGGCTATATTTGGATAAAAGTTGAGAATACAATTAAATTACATCAGTAAATTTAACATCATATGCAATAAAAAACTTTACACATTAGATTTGCGAGCATTTTTATACTTGTATGCTTAATTTGTTTATTTTTATCTGATATACTCTATTTTTACATTTACACACGCACATAGACTTCAGAGAGGGATTATATAAAGACCATGAATGATAGTATAAATGTGTTCCTCGATCAATGCAGAAAAAGTCTTTATGTGGCAGATGGATCCCCACGGAGGAATGAAGATTATAATTATGGTACACTAGAAAGACCCAACAAGTTTGTCTGTATTTTGGATATCAAAATTATTTATCTTGATGAGAAAGAACGACTTTTGATCTGAAAAGAAAGATAAACAAGTGTGATGGAGATGTAAGAGGAATCTTTTGACCGCACGTGTGATGCTGCTTTTTTCTAAGATATGTTGAGAAGGTGTTGAATAATGGAAATCGTGATAAAAAAATAACATGACATTATCTTAGAATGACACCTTTTCTGTTTTCCTTCTGGCCAGCTGTTATCCCATCATGACTTAAAACTCCATGTTGCCTTTATACTTTGGAGAGAGCACGAAAACACCTTGTAACTTCTCACTTTATATTTCTCATTTCATCACGGTGTGAATTATTGTAACTTCTTTTCAATGGATGCCATTTTACTTGATCAAGATATCATCCAACTTTGGATCTTCAAAAGTTTAGCACTTTAATAATTTCCTCGTACTCTTTCTCCTCAAATTACGGGATAATAATTGGATTACATAATTTTTTTTATGAGTAGTTGAGGTAACACGCTTATCACTAGATGTGAGAGACAACAGTTATTTATATGTATGGCTAAAAATGACTCTGCTAAAGATAATTATATCAACATGATTATTGTATAACCAAAGTAGAACTATTTCTTGTCACTGCCAATCTCAATATGTTGGTAAGAATCCATCTTGGTAACAGAGTCAATTGATCTGTCATTGTTACATAACCAGCTACGAACCATGTTGTTTACATAGTAAATTAGCAGTTGTAAATAGAGACTCAACCTACTAGTATTGTGTCCGTACACAAGTGAAACAGTACTTGTTACTTAACTAGTAAGCCACAGTGTGAGTGATGTTCACATAAAAGATGGAAAAATGTTGAATTTTTCTGTTGTATTACTTAGCATATGTATTAGTTTGTTTTACTGTTTTTTCTTCTTTTTTGATATCTCAGTCCATCCCATTTTGGGGGTGTACGTTTATGATTACCCTTAAGGAAGCAGTGTGGAAGAAATTTACATTCCATCTGTGATATGTTGGAAAGAGAGGACAGTGTACCAAATAAAAAATGCAGAAAAATTAAAATCCTTCACAGATGTTGTGGTGAAGAAACATGTGGCGAGTTTGTTCCGTACTGAACAAGCATGTAGAAGAGAATGGAAATGGGGTAGTGGCTTAATGACTGAAAGTACACGTGACTATTAAATTACTATATATGTTAATTATACCGCAGGCAATGGTATTGTGAATCACGAGAACTTCACGTGTAACTCTGACCTCCTTGTTCTGTACAACCGACCAATTTTTTTTAGATTCAAGATATGCTGTGTTTGGACCACTTTGATCACGGAGCATTTCGGACATTAATGTTATCACCTCTGTCTGTAATGCTGTTAAGTTCCCACTGTTTTCCATTTCTATTGCGCTTTCTCAATTACAAAGTTCTGCACCCATGCTTTAAATGAATATAATAAATTTATAATTTTTATATGAGGGTCCAATCAGCACATTAAATATTTTCAAATGACCATTTCTCTAAGAAAATGAAGTTACCTAGAAAACCTCATTGTTCTAATTAAACGACCCCAGTTTGGTTTTGGATTTCTTATGGCTGATGACATCTTCGCAAAAAGTGATGCTCTTTGAATTTCAATGATCTTGAACAGGGAATGATGCTTGAGTCTGCTATATGTTACTGTGAAAAATATAAGAAAAACTTGGCATCTTAACCTTGATAAAGGACTCTGTGTCTGGGTTGGAATACGAGAATTGATTGATGCAAATAAATCGAGAGGATACACTGTGAAATATGTGAAGATCTACCGGTTTCTGAGACAGGATCGGATGAAGTTTTTGCGAAATTTTGATGGGGATTTGTGCAAAATTTCACGGTAAAGAGGAATTTTGTGTCAAATCAACGTGATGGAGAAAAGAAAAATTGTTCTGAAATTTAGAGAATAGACTGAAACAAGAAGCAACGGGGAAATACAATAGTAGGCTATTAGGGGGAAAGTAGTAAGAAAACTGTATAGTTACTGCTCAACGAGAGAGGAAGAAACATGAGATTATATATACTCAGAAGAGTTTTTCTCTCATAAAAAGTTTAATGTGATAGATAATTTCTATTCAATGTGTTGTCACAATATATAGCAGCAGGAATATTAGACATTCATTTCTTTAAACAGAGAATAGAAAAACAAAATAAAGCTTCGTGCATGAATAATAATTATAAAAATGAAAAAAAAATTAATCATTCAATATTTATATCTAAAATATTTAAATTTTTTAAAAATAAATTTCTAAATAATTTTTTTTAAAAAATTGTAGCTTATGATCATCCGATGAATTTAAGAAACGGAGAGTTAATACAACTTAATTCAATTGTATAACATATATAATTTTACAATTTTTCTATGTTTTATCATATTAACATTATTTATTTATGTATCATAAGTAATGTTGATATGTTGACAATATTAATTTTTTTTGAAGTGATGGAATTTTATAATTAGAATCACCGAATTTGATGACTTAACCCAACTCAATTGAACTATAATCTGGTTGATTATTAAACAAAATATAAATCTCAATTTAATCTAATTAAATTACATAAAATAAAATAGAATAAATCCCATTCAACTTCACAAGTCCTCAGTTTGATATAAATATATAATTTTGTAGATAAAGTGTTTGAAATTGGAGCGATTAATATAAACTAATTTAGTGGATGGATGTATAACAGGTGTAACAGTGAGGTGAGAAGAAGATGGTAGAAACAACAAAGTGCTGACAAACGCATTATTCAATATGAAGTGCTTAAAATTTGATGAAGACGAAAGCAAAGAAGGAATAAAATAGTAGCAGAGATTATTATTTAGAACAAGTCGTTGGAAAAAGGTTATCATTTGGGAAGAGCACGAGGTAGAGCAAGTGGGTGCTATCTATGACTAATTTAGTTACACACTTAACTGGCTTTTTATCACACTTGAATAAAAATTTATGCCTCTTCTTATGGAATCTTAGTCAAAAACTTGAAACTTACGTCCTTGGCTACTTTTATTGGGCATATGAGATGCTGCACAACAAAAACAAAACTTTCTCCCTTTTGTTTCATCTACTTAGCAAACTACTTTCAGGCCTATGCAAAAGTCACTTTATCTTATTTTTATATCTTTTCTGGGAAGAGATACCAACAAGGATTTATCTGGATTTCTTTCTGTAAGGTGGAAACAAAAATACAGTGTGAAGGGGCAGAAAATTCTGTCCTATCATCATGTGTACGAATCTTGTGATTCAAATCCATTGCTCATGCAAATATCTCATTACTGCTTCTATATTCTTGCTGTCTCCTCCAAAGCTGTCAGACTCCTGTAACATATTCTGATATTCAGTTGGCTTGGATATCCATCATGCAGCTTTTTGCTGCACATTTTAAACTAAGCTCAACAAAAATCTCCTAAAGGCCAAATAATTAGATTAGAGTTTGTGACATAAATGAAGGCCTAATTTTTAAATCTTCTAAACCGATGTATAGGAGCATGTTTTCATCAGTAATAATTATTATAATTTATAAAGCCTTCTTTTCTTTTAGTCTGTGAAATTAAATGTTTTAGAGTAAGGATAAAGATCGTCATTTTTTTTATACAAATGATTGAAACGAGAATAGAATCTAAGATATATTTAGACTCATACTCACTACACCACTCTTAATGGTGTGGACTAAAAATCATGCAACCAAGAAAAACTGGAAACAATTTTGTGCTGGTTTGTTTCCACCAGTGGGGAACTCAGAGCATTTGAAGGTTTGAAGTTGCACCCTCCATTATGTACAATTATAATTTTTATTTTTTCATCCCCATACATTAATATATTAATATCATAATTAAGTGAAAGACTCGTATATGGATACAAACAGATATATATATATATATATATATATATATATATATATATATACTGTTTAGTCCAGATTGTTGAAAGCCACTGATTTTCATCTAAGAAAATCTGAACTGACTTTTAAAAAAATGAAGCCAAATCTAGTATACTATTGGTTAGGATGAGGTGAGGGTCATGACATTCTGTTTATGAGTGATAATCCCAGAGGTTCAATAATTTATAGATTTTGTGGCATTGGATAAGCATGATTTTCAGCCATGGGAATGCAAAGTTTGATGTTGAAAGCTGGGGCCCTAATTATGTGCAACTTTTTGAGATGAAGTCAAGGTAGTAATAAGTTAGTCGATTATGCTATAAAACCTTTGTAATGGTTGTTGTTACGAACTGATATGTAGGATTGAACAGGGCTTTACTTACCCAAGTCCCTCATCTATCAGTCACTTCCCTGATAATGTGGATCCAGGGAAAGATAGAAAGAAAGAACAAAATAAAAGGCAGTGAGAAAAAGAAGAAGAAAAAGGATAAGGCTTTTTGAGTTTTGTCCTGATGGGCAACCATAAACTCTCCATCATGCACAAGATTAAGGTAAGGTTATAAACTGAAATAAAATAGGTACCACATAGTTGAAAAATTGGAGACCCATGATGTTGGTGGGTGGTGGCTACACATAGGATGATAGAGTGTGACATGGCAATGGAAGAAAGAGAAGGGTGGTTGAATTGCTTGGGTTGTTTTTATCAGTTCCCGGTTATTGGGGTAAGGATTCCCAAAGGGTGAGGTGGGGCCCAATTGCTGTTTGTCTGGTGGGTTTAGAGGCACTGCACGCCCTTTCATGCCCCATCGCTGCCTCTTTACTAGACCGATGTGAGATAGGACCACAACCTCAACCACTCCTATAAGAACCCCCCATCCCTCACTCACTCACTCACAACACAACTCAACTTCAAAGCTTCAAAGCTTCAAAGCGTCAACAAACCTTAAAACAAAGGATAACCCTACAAAAATGAAGATGGCTAGTCCTAGCATGGGAGGTTCAAAGAGAAGGCTCTCAAGCAGAGGGCTTGGAGGAGCCCTCAGGGAACAAAGGGCAAGGCTATACATAATCAGAAGGTGTGTGGTCATGCTCCTCTGCTGGCATGACTAGTACTGTTTCACCTCTTCAAAATCCATCACTATGGAAAACAAGATTGCTTCTTTCTCTCCTTTCTATTCTATTTTTCTTCTTCTCTTCTTCTCTTCCTTTCATTCATATCGTGGAGTGTGTATATAGCTGACGGCTGCTTATTGTGGAAGAGTGTTAACAATTTTTTGTATGGCTTGCTGGCCTTATAAATACATATATGGCTTGGCTTTATGTACATCGCAATAACAGAATTATTTATAACAGTTTCAATTTTATCATATACATTCAGAGTTTATTTTTCTACTGTTTTTTCTCTTTAGCTTTCTTTTCTATTTGATGCACTGATTAACTGGGATCATGCTCGTACCTCCAAGCTAATTCATTGTAGTGTTCTTCATCTCTCTTGTTCTCTCTCCATATTAGTTAGATCCACATGGAGGAAATATTATTTCAAAAATAGAGCATATAAATAATTAGTTAACAGCTTGTTGTGCATATTCAGAATCTAGAACAAAGTTTGTATCTTAATATGATCTTTTATGAGTTCGCTCTGACATGGCAAGTTTGAAGAGTGATTCCAGTTAAGGAGTATGAGTCCCCCCAAAATCCCTTTCTCAACAGAATTTCCGGTGTTCTTGAAAATTTTGTACAAATTTTTCATAGGAAGAGACTTTATCTTACCATATTTATGGTGCTTAATTTCGAGCATATACTTTCCCACAGATATGGAAACTTGGTAAGAATCTTCGGATATGGTGGGATTTCTATGGAGAATAATGATTTAAATCCGAGAATAAATAACATTATATAAGAAAAGAAACTCCTGAAACTTAATGTTCGAAAATTTTGGGTTAAAAGTGTGTTAATCACTTTCCTGGTTTGACTCAAGACACATGAACCCACCATCAATTTCATAGATAGCTGGGAAAAGAATAGCTAATCCGAATCCAGATTATGTTTTGAAGTCTATTGAATTTCCGCAATTTCACTCAACTGGAATAATTATACACAGACTATGGCACATTAATTTCATATTTTACAGCAGTTGTGTGTGTGAAGGCTATTTATCTAACTCGTTAAACAAGTGTAGACACAAATTTTGGCTTAAGAAATTTACTACAGTGTAAAAGGTAATATGAAGATTTTATCTTTTTGCTAACTTAGCATGAAACTTTCGTTTGAGACGAAAAAATGCAGAAAAGACATGCAGGTGTTGGTTAAGACTTAAGATGACAATATGAGTAATAATGAAAAATTAATGAAAAAAGAGCGCTTAAGAAACAAAAAGATGGTATGTAAGTGAGGTTAAGTTGATAGGAAGTAATACTGAATAATTGTTGGCATAGTGTAGGCCCTGTTAATCATTTGAAGTAAAGATTTGGTTGATGACTCAAAAATTGGAACAGTTAGCACACAGTTGTAACATTTTATATAGATGGATTTTGGAATCTACCTTTTTATCTTTTACCGAAAAGGGCGGCATCTATAAAGTGTTTGCAGCTTGAACTCAAAGCGTTACACTGTTCCTTTTTTTCAGGCTATAATTGATGTTAGTTTTTATACACGGAAAGATTGTCATTAAATTCCAAGTTTATTAGTTATTTGTAATCAAGTCTTTTCATTAGGCAGCATGATTTGATCTTTCAACTGTTTAAAACTTTTTAAATAGGCTCCGTAATCTTAATAGAGATAAGAAATGTTTGGTCTAGTTTTGACAGGATTAAAAATATTTTATAAGTTTAGATAATCAACACTACATATATTTAAAGTATACCTAATTCACTTTTAAGAAAATAAAAATCAAATTGAACTAGTACATTAATATGCATGTCATCAATAAGTGCTTAAATCAACTTACACATATTACTTAATTTAGCCAACAATTTAAGATTTATTTTATGGGAGTTCCCTCAAACTTGAACATGGTTGTCTCTAGTGATAAAAAGAACAAATATTTAATATAATTTTGAAAATTGTTGAAAAAATAAGATGTATGGTATTTAATGATTTAGTTTTTTGTAAAAGCATAAAAGCAACCCACTTACTATGGGTAGACAGTATTGGGAAACATGAATTGAGTTAAAACTCACGTGTAGGA